ATATAATATAATATAAGATTCATAAGACATTTTGCTTACAGACACAGTTGATTTCATATGAAGCAGTTCTCATCTTGACATTACGTTAAAAACATGTTTCATTCACACAAAAAAAACCAACAACTGAAAACCACAAAGTGATCTATTTCAGGTTTATTTGAAAAAATTAAAATAAAGTGCTTTTTAAAAATATACATTACAAAAACAAAAAGAAAAAAACAGTAGTGATGTATGATACAAAAATACAGTTCACAATCATTGTACATTGGCAGCGTACTTTTTATTTACAAATTGAATTTACAAAAAAAAACTTGTTTACTGTAGCTGTACAATGCATGTTGACAAAAGTCTGTGCCGTTACGAGAACAAAAGGCAGAGGTTCAGGGGGGAAAATAGGACAATACTTTCATAGTTTCAGCTGCATGTTGCATTTTGTTCCAACCTTTTTATTATTTAGTTCTGATGGCAGTCTYAAAAGTGGCGTTTGTTTTATTTTATTAATAACAGTCGAAGCACAAGTCATTCATCCGACACCAGTGATTACAGAGGTGGGCACTGCCAACCAAAAAGTTAGCTTCACTAACTCATAATCAGCTAAATAAAAATAAAAATATAACTTCACTAAGGCTAAACATGTTTTTAAAAAAATAGTGGAAGCTAATAATAACAGCTAACCGCTAAGGCGGTCACCCGTCTGTCCTTCGAGCTGAAGACTGGTGGGACTGACAAACCTGTTGATGTTTGTTCGTTAGCTACCAGCAGGCTTAAAGTTGACAAAACCTAATGAACTATTTTAAAAGTTAGCGAAGTAGCTAATCTGCTAAATGGAAAATTAGTTCCACCATTAGCTGTTAGCTGATAAGCGGAACCGCGCCCACCGCTGCAGATACGCCGTCTTTAAAATTCACGTTTGACCTCGATTACAGGAAATGCAACATTATAAGGTTTCATCCCTGATTGAAATTGTAGCCAAAGAGATTTGAAGAAAATGTTTTATGACACTTTATCACGCATACTTCCTGATTCCAGGTGTTTCTGTGAAGTATCTTTTTTTACACCTTTACCTCTAAAGCTATCATCTCCTGATTATTGTTTCAGAAAACTTCACTCAGGCAAAACTGTGGTCAGACCCACAACCTGCACTGATCTAAGGCTTTAAACATCAAGTGCAAATCCGCCTTCCCTGTTTGCACAGACCTGAACCCTGCTGCTGCCCTTGAGCCAAAATAACCTACTTATTTATTTATTTATTTATTTATTTATTTATTTATTTATTTATTTATTTATTTATTTATTTATTTATTTATTTATTTATTTATTTTGAAAACTGAGACCTTATTACCCAGGGGCAGCAGGAGGTTTAGCATCACAACACAAAAGCCAAAATGAAATATGAATTATCTGAACTTTAGTATTTATGTTGTTTACTCTTTGAGCATTTATTGATGTTTACTTCTGGACGAGGATGAAAGTTATTGCTTTGACAAACCATTCAAGCAAGCAGTGGTTGTTTTGTTTATTTATTTATTTTTTACTCATCGTGAATTAACGTGTATCAAAGGTGAAGATGTCACTTTTAAAAAAGATAATGTGCTATTTCACTCTATAATAGCTTCCCTTTGAGAGCAGTGAAATATATTTAATATGACTTTGAAAAACTATTTTGGCCTCATAATAATAAGTATTTGTCATGTTTGAATAAATCAAATGCAACAATTTAAATTATTAACCTGGACCCTTGTTTAATTTCATATCATACTGCCGTATTAAAACACTTCAAAAATGGCTAAATTCTCTTGCATACTTGCAGTATTTTTACTGAATGAGTGGGTGTTTAAAAATTAATTTTTTTTGCAGTTCCACTGATTTTAAAGTAATTCAACACCTTGTGCTTACCCAGTATCAAGGTGAGGCTAGTCTTTTTTTTTAACCTCACGTTCACCTCACTTCACATTATTTGCTTTGCATAGACCGCCTGTCTCATGACAAACAGTGTGATACTAACCGGAATGAGCTTTAACCCTCCGTCACATTCAGTGACACAAAACCAAGAAAACATATTTAAAATTTCAAAAACAATATTTACATACAGTACAAATTCAAATACTTATAAGGTATATCTGTGTCTGTTTATATATATATTTATATATATTCTTTTGTATTTTAACTGAGCTTGTGGGAGTTTCTGAAACATTTTCGCTGATATGATTTTATCCTAATATTTTCTATATTACTAGATTTAATCAACGTTTTGAATTTCCTAAGAAATCCTTTTGTTATTTGTGTTTTATTTGTGTAAGAAAGCACGTATGCTATGTAGAAAACACCTTTCCTAGATGTATCTTACTTGTGTTAAAGAGATATTTCAGATCTTTCGAAGTGGGTTTTAAGGTCACAAACAAAGAATATATTACCTGCTGTAGATAGCTCATTGAACAACCTCAGTAGAGGAGCTGGAGAGATAGTTTAAATCTGACCATATTGATGAGCTAAAGGCTAGTCTGGGCTGTGCCAAGACTAACTGCTGACATCTTACAGCTGTTATCTTTACATTACATAATTATTTTGACAAAAAAAATAAAATGATATGATGCTCCTTCAGGAATCACCCCAGGCTAAACCAGAAGTACCACAGCTGCTGCTATTTGCTCGCACAAATAAGCACAGAATTCTATGTAAATAGCCACTAAATGAAACATTTGGCAGAGATGGAAAGGTTTATGAATAGAATTGACATAAACAACTGTGGAAATGTTGAAAGTCAAGTCACTGAAATCGAAACATTTTGCTGGTTTTGGCCAATATACAATCAGTGTCTCTATAAGAATGATATATTTGTTGTACTTTTTCTTGAATGTAATTATTAACACAATTAATGACTGCAGTTGCTACGAACTTTAAATTTACTAACTAAAATTGTAAACACACACACACGCATACATATATATATGTGTGTGTGTGTGTGTGTGTGTGTGTGTGTGTTTCTGTACAGAACAGATGTTTTTAGAGTTGTAGCACGTGTTCAAATGGTAAATCTACATGAACTGCTTATCCAAAAACACATCTTTAAATTTATATATTTAGATACAAAAGTTTTAAATAATGTTCAACGTTTTTTTAGCATTTCTCTGTAGCTCAGACAGAGGAGGAGGAGAGACACATCCTCTTTATACTAGAGATGTATGGATGATTAAGACAACTGAATGAGTTTTAAATTCACAATAATGAGCTGCAGATGATAGCATTAGCAGGAATTAGCCTGTGTCAACATTGTGGTCCTTTTCCATCAATGCCAAGTATTTATGACACTTTTATCAGATTAAAGATTAAAGGTAAAAAAAAATTGCCATGACTCTGCAGCAACAGAGTAGACAGTTTGAACACAGTCTTTTTCTCCAAAATAAAGGTGCCTAAAGRGCTATCTGCAACAGGTAAGATATTAATGGCTCATAACCTTCACTTCATAAGATCATAACTGTTGCTTTATTCTGATGTAAGTGGTTAAAAGTACAGTACATAGTGCATAGCCTCAGTGAAGAGTGGACTCTCACCAGATGGCAGAATGAAGGTAAAACATCAGATCAGTAATACTCTACCTTTCAAGGCATCACCAGATGAATATATGGATGGAAAGAGTGGAAATGCCCTGAAATCCAACCACAAAGTCCTGTTCGTGATGCCACAGCTGTGCTCGTTACATTCCCGTGAGCTGTGTGTGAAAGCATCCGAAGCTTGAAGGCAAACCGGAGGTTCTTCAGTGTGCTTTAAATGCGCTTGAAAAGGGACGTGTCAGAGGAGAGGAAAACCAAATGCACATCGATCCACAGGGACAGAACGAAAGAAGACAAAGTGCAAAATCTCTGTAATGAAATGTTTCTCAATGAGAGTGCTGCTTTTGACTCTTAATCATGTTTTGTCTTTTCCAACAAGTGCACTCTTGTTTTGTTTTTYATGAGTTAGTGTGTAACATGAAACCAGCCTTAGACTATGGAGTCTTTAATCTCAGARCCTAGTCTGACTCTTGGCCGGGGACACGTGGGAGAAATCTCTACGTGGCTCTCCTTTAAGTTCAGAGGCCTTTTCTCTGATTCTGAGAAGCTCTTGCTGTTGTCCGGCGAGGAGCACTCGTGCGGCGGCGTGCCACAGATGTGATTGTCATTAAGGGTGTGGTATCCCTTGTGATCCGACGCTGAGGTCGTGACCGTGCTGCCGTTGAGCGGCAGGTTCTCAGCAGGTTTGCCGCCCACCATCCGGGGCTTTTTCTGCTGCATGTTTGGGCACTCTCCTTCCTTGAGCATCGACTTCATGTGGTCGCGGTTCCTGTAGACCACAAAGAGCGAGAAGACCACGATGGAAAACCCCAGGAGGGTGCAGACCACGATCAGCTCATTCCAGTAGGTCTTGGTGTTGATCTGCGGTGAGAGGCTGTCCCCCGGCAGGATGATGACCTCCTCCTGGGGCAGCTGGACCTTGCCGTTCAGGGTGGTGCTCTCCTGCTTGGCCTCAGCTCTCACGCAGTAGTTTGCCAGAAGCTGCCTGAAACCTTCCTCCACCGACCAGCACTCGTAGGTGACCTGCCTGCCGGTCTGAGCGACCACCACCAGGCCCCCCTCTGGGCTGGGGTAATGAAAGTGACCAGCGCTCTCACTGAACCGCCACCTTCTTTCAGCCAGATTGGAGCGCAGCTTGCAGGGCAGGACTTTGAAAGTGTTGGCTGGGATAATGACCACCTGGCACGATGACGCCCCTGTGGGAAAGCAAAGCAGATCGTGTCAGACGCTGCAGGAAATGAGCGGTGCCGCCGTGTTTGGCGCAGAATGCGGAACAATAATCAGTTTGACATGACAAGGTGAGAAGAAGAGTCCAACATACATGTCTGTGAAGGTTTGGGCATCCGAGGGCTTGGCAGAGTTTTGTTACAAATGGCAGAAGTGTCAGCTTCATCTACATCCTGCTGCAAAGCCCTGAAACTGACAGTATATTCTCATTAAAGGGATAAGTGGAGGCTCTGTGGGAACGCTTTCAAGCAATAATATCTTGTTTGAATGGGCCCAGTTTGGGGAGATGGAGATGAATTCTGAAGACTGATGAGCTAGTTCAAGACTAAAGTGGATTGTCTTTTGTATTAAGTGGTTATTTTTGCAGGAATGACCAAATCAAATGATGAAATAGCTGTTGATATTTGAGCTTCTACTTCAGATGACCTGCATGGTGGGACAATAGGTGAGCAGCAAACAAAAGTTTTTTTCCCGGGTTTGAGTTTGCCTGTTGTCTTCATGCATGTGTGGTTCTTATAATTGTGCAGGTTTGAGTACAGTTTGTGTCAAAAAGGCCAAAAAAAAAAAAGCCAAATATTTCATGCAAGCAATGCAGAAAACAACTATGTTTCCATCCTGCACCCTTAAAACATGAAATCTTGGTCCTATGGCAATAAATCTTATAGAGTTGGAAAGTGTGTTAATTACCTTTTTAAATAGTGCCACATTTGTAAGGAACATGCATTTGTGAGCTGAGCAGTAAAGCTGAGTATGTGGTTTGTGCACATAAAAAAAAAGCCAAATCTTCTCTGCCAAACTGCTTAATTTGTTGTTGCTATTGACACTTGTTTCGAACTTCTGGTGCCCCCAGGTTCCTGCCAATCAGGGGCCTTCTATAAGATTTATTGCCAAGAAGCACAGTTACAACAAATAAATAAGCTACATAACACAAATTTCCTTACTTTGTTTTTGATAAGTTTATATTTCAACAAACCAAGGTCATTCAAAGATCTATCTACAACAGGTAAGATATTGGTTGTCCAGAACCTCCTCTCTTCAAAACATCTGAAATATAACTTTGAGGCTGTTTTATAAAACATAATTTCTTGTTAATTGATCTTGTTAATTGCATTTCTTTAAAAAGTTTTAACTACAATGCTGGTGTATAGAAAGGGTTCATACTTGTTAGCAGGAGCACTTCTGATATCCACACACTGCCTTCCGTTCCAGGCACAGTATGGATCCCTGGACAGGATGCACTCCCCGCAGCTCTGATAGTTGGTGCAGTTAGAGACCGGGACCTCCACCAGTTCAGAGAGTGAGGAGACGTAAAGCCGACCCTGGGGATGAGAGATAACGACAGGACGTTAAACTGTGAGTAAAGAAGTTAAACGGACGTGTTTGTCTCTGAGCCGCTCAGTTACCTTCTCGGTGTCCAGCTCAATGTGTTGCACCTGCTGGGAATCACGGAAAAGAACCATCTCCTCAATTATGTGCATCTTGTTTTTGACATTTATGGCTTTGTGGAGTCTCCCATCATCTGCAAAAAGCACAGTTCAATTTGAACTCTGAAAGCTGGTTGATTATGCAGTAAAAAGAGCAGGATCGTGACGATAAAAGGTGTCGTACCTGTGCCGATGAAAAGCACATTATGCACCTTTTTATTCGTCTGGACACGATGAACGGCGATCTGCGTGTAGCGCACGTTTCGTTTCAGAAGGAGAGGCTGGCTGCGAATCACGCTGTCCATCAGGAAGTGGTCTTTGACGAAATTCAGGACCTTGTCTGGCATGTGCAGCGAGGAGGACATGCCCTGCTCCCTGGCAGCGTTTGTGATACACTGTGAAAGAAACACAACATTTACTCACAGCTGATTGTAACACAAACGGTGGGTGGACAACTGCTCAGGGACTGCTGGGTAAAATGAAACGCAGCGTTAAGGCTGAGTACTGAATTATTGGTCACTGAAATTCTCAGCTGAAACTGAGGTTGTTAAAGGGATCCACTATTAGTTGTAACATTAAACTTTATTTGTTAAACATTTATTTTAACTGTAAAATAAAGACTGTAAAAATACTGTAGGATGTTTAGTTTTGTAACTTTTTTAAAGATATTTTAAAACGGACGGAGCCATTTTATTTACACGCAAGGCATTCTGGGTAAATGATGACATCAACTAGGTCATCAGTGCGAGGCTGCTAGGGAGCTTAGCCTGTTAGCCTTCGCGCTAGCCCTCACGCTATATTGCCTTATATGTATTAGCTCGGCGCTAGTGTGACAAACAAGCTAAACTGGGGTCCTCCATCCACATTTTCAGTTGCAGACTGAGTCATTTTTGTGTTCCCCTCTCTGTTATGTGGATGGAGGACCTCAGTGATGAGAGGAGAATATGTAGCGCCAAGCTAATACATATGGTGATAGCATCGGGGCTAACGCTAAAGCTAACAGGCTAAGCTGAGGTTCTTCTTCCACGAAGCAGCTCTGTTGTTCTCCATCCATATTTTCAGTTACAGGCTGAGTCATTTCTACCTTCTCCTCTCTGTCAACGCTCTCTGGTTTCATTTAAAAGAGCCAATCATCAGATAGTGTCCAAGGCTACGTTCACACTGCAGGTCTTAATGCTCAGTTCCGATTTTTTGAAAAAATCCTAAAATGTAAATCCTAAAATCT